CCATCCATCCATCCATCCATCCATCCATCCATCCATCCATCCATCCATCCGTCCATCCATCCTCTTTACCATCTTTTCTTTTCCGAGTCACAGAGCTGGTGCCTATCAGTCACTGTGTGAGAAGCCAGGTACACCCTGGACAGGTTATGTCCATCATAAGGACACTTGGAGCCAAATGGGACAACCAATCAGCAACACTCTCACTCACACCTAGAGACAATTTAATTACCATTGAACCTACTGTAACATGCAGGGTTTCAGTCTGTGGTAAGAAACTGTAGAATCCGGAGAAAACCCACGTGAGCCGGGGGGAGAACATGCAAACTCCACACCAACCTGTGACATTCTAACCACTGCTGCACCGTCACGCTGCCCAGTTCTTGAGCTGMAGAAACTTCATTTGCACAAGAAAATAAATTGGACCAAGTCTTGCTATAGTTGTGTTTAGTAGTTAAAATTAAATAGGTAAAAAAACATTGAGTCAACTTAAAGCTGCTTTTATTGATTTGATTAAATGTTTAGCACCTATCAGTTAAAATGGACATATCTGAGTACAAACAACAAGCCACTAAACCCTGTTTTACAAAAATGTAATAATTATAGATTTTTTTAGGTAGAAATTTGAGGTCTAGTTTTGATACAGTGACAGACKTACACCATACTGACTGGTTAAGGTCTGTACTGAAAAGATTTGGAYGCAACCAATCGCCTCTCGCTCAGAGACCCCTGACCAGCCCTCAGTTCTCTCTCAGTCAGAATGATAAGAAAACCCAAGTCATTTTACGTGGACAGAAAAGTACCGGAAGTGACCCTGATGCAAGCTTGGATCTTTATCTCCATTTTACCAAACGGCTGTTAGAAATCTCGGTGTTGTCTTCGAACGCCGTTTGAAACTGGAAAAGCAAGTGAATTCGGTTGTCAAATCAAGCTTTTTCTATTTACGTCTTTTAGCCAAGGTGAAGTCCTACTTTTGTTTGATTTTGAGAAAATTATTCATGCTTTCATCACAACACGTTTGGACTACTGTAATTCATTGTAGATCAGTCCTCCCTGCATCGTGTCCAAATGATTCAAAATGCTGCTGCCTGACTTTTAACAGGTACATGGAAACATGAGCATAACACCTGTGTGGGCTTCATTACACTGGTTACTTGTATCTCACAGAATTGATTTTAAGATTTTATTGTTAGTTTTTAAAGTTTTGAATGGCCTTGCTCCAACCTATCTTCAWGATCTCTTGCATGTTCATTCTGCATGTAAAACATTGAGGTCAAACAACCAGATGCTTCTAGATGTTCCAAGATCCAGATTTAGCAGAGGTGTTGCTTTTGCTGTCTGCTCCCAATCTGTGGAACAACTTGCCCTTTCATATTAGATCTGCTCATAGCTTGGAAACTTCAAAGTGCTTCTTAAGACTCACTTTTATTCAATGGCATAGTAATTAAAGTGGTTTTCCACCCTCCTAGATCCCTTTCACATAGTTTTGATGGTTTTTGGTGATTTTTCASTGGATTTTGGTCTACATGGGCCCTTTTCACATAGTTTCTGATGGTTTTTAGTGGTTTTGGCTGGGTTTCGGCCCTCCTAGACCCATTTCACGTGGTTTTTGGTGGTTTTCAGTGATTTCCCACCCTCCTATGCCCATTTCACATAGTTTGTGATGGTTTTTGGTGGTTTTCAGTGGTTTTCCAATCTCCTAGGCCACTTTCACATTGTTTTTGATAGATTTTGGTGGTTTTGGCCCTCCTAGACCCCTTTCACATGGTGTTTAATGGTTTGTGGTCGTTCTGACTGGTTTTTGGTCCTCCTAGGCCCCTTTCACATAGTTTTTGATTGTTTTTTGGTGGTTTGGTGGGGAATTCAGCCCTCCTATGCCACTTTTACAATATTTTGGATGGTTATTGGTGATTTTGCAAGGGTTTTTGATCCTCCTAGGCCCCTTTTACTTAGTTTTTAAGGTTCTTTGTGGTTTTGAGTGATTTTTGGCCCTCCTAGGTCCCATTTACAGGGTTATCAATGGTTTTTGGTAGTTTGGGGGGGGGGGGGTGGTTCTCAGCCCTCTAAGGCTAACAGTACTGTTGCCAAACTAAAAATCCAACATTGCTGCCACAGCTAAAATACTACATTTACCATAACTCAGCACGTTTTTAACTCATTTCCCTCAAATTTGGGATGGTAGTTCATCACAATGATCTCCAAACAACCGTATATTCATATCTTATAAAAAAATTTGTTAAAAGGAGTTTGGCATGTGGCAATCCTTTCATAGTTTCTCCAGGAACTGTTCTAGTCTGTTCTTACTATTGTTGGTTGTAATTTATTATGTATTTTTTAGCAATCATTGTGGTTTTGTGATATTTGTGGATTGCTGTWCAGCACTTTGGTGCAGTRTTYRGCTGTTTTTAAAAGCRCTTTATAAATAAAGTTGACATTGACATTGACAGTAACCCTGAACAGAAACAATAGGATAAAGAAAATGGATGCAGGGATAGATCCCTCCCTACTCAACCCTGTTGAGTAAACTTGACAAACATTCCAGTAAACTTTTACATATTTCCTATCTAAAAACATATGCCAAGAAGCCTTAACATCTCAGACTCGCAACGCTTTGAAAACTTTGTATTCATCTCTAAATTTAGAAGTGAGCCTCAAACGTTTAGAAATGTGACTTTCACAGTGAAAATTAGACTCAGAGGAGCTGCGTTCTGCTGCAGGAGCAGCCAGGAGTGAGCGTTTGATATACAGAGACAATGCAGAAGGTCTCAGACGATGATAAAGTTCAAACAGGAAATCCTTCTTTGGAGACGATGACATATTCCGTGCATTCTGTTTACGAAGACACACCAAGGGTCTGGGTGGAAATAGTTGTCTCTGTGTGTGTGTGTGTTTTGAGATATGAAGTATGAAATTTTGCAAGGATTTTTCTGAATGTGCCTTTTTTTTCTTAGAGTGTCTCTGTCAGTCTGAGTGTGTCTGCTCAGCACCGTTCGCTCATTCCCATCACACAGCGAGCGCGGACCGAACATGACAGACTAGTAATGACTTGGGTCTCCAACCCCTCCTCCCTTCCCCTCCCCAACACACACACACACACACACACACACACACACACACAC